CAGAGTCTCAGTTTTCTTGTTAGAACTTGCGGACGTGTGTGCTATTCACCTTAGAGCGAGTGCAATTTGGAACTGAACAAAGAATAAGTTCCGATCAAGGCATTTTATAAAGTGCTCCTGCGAATACTTCTTTTAATCTTTGTGTCTTGTTTAGAAATTTTGAATGGTTGTTTTCCTCGGAAATCTGCAATGTACAAGGGTGTGCCGCTGAAATAATCGTCCATTTATTTCACTCGTCATTTTTGGGTTTCCTTGTTATATGTTTGCTGTTATTGGATTTTTTCGCTGAAGCTTTCCCTAGTCAGTTCCTCCTTAATATGGTTTTATGTTGGCATAAGTTTTGAAGTTCATATCTTGCCATTTTATTGCCTGTTGGTTGAACCTGGGTTTATTTGTTGATCTGTAATTGAAATGATGTGCAGGGACTGGGGTAGGCGCTTTATGAGGCTGTATCCTCAATACACTTCCTGGGACAATCCAAAAGAACCAGAAAGGCCACTTGTCATTGGATATGTGTCTCCAGATTATTTTACTCATTCTGTATCTTATTTCATTGAGGCACCCCTTGTCTATCACGACTATACGAATTACAAAGTGGTTGTGTATTCGGCAGTTGTCAAGGTATTGTAATAGCATTATTCAGTTTTTCTAATTTATTCATGTGCCATCTTCATCCAAGCTAGTGTTTTCTTATGTTTAGGTATTGTCTATGCTATTTTTCTTGTTGCATTGTGAGAATGTCTCTGTCGTAACTTGCAGCTATCTTGGGGCTACAGGTTATCTGACTCTTGCCCTGTAGGCAAATGTAGGCCACTTGTAATTGCGTTACTCTGGTTTTGTAGATATGTTTTTAATTGTTGTTAGTACAACTCATGACAGTTCTGCTTGTTTGGGTTTGTTCTTGTCAACTGTTTGCATTTATATGACGATGGCAATGCCAATTTTTTAATGGCCTTTCTTTTCATCTGTCTAATGTGCCTATTATTTATGAAATTGTGGGTCCGTCTTATGCACTTGCTCAAAATATCAACGCTTATGATTGTTTACAGGCTGATGCAAAAACGCATAGGTTCAGAGAGAAAGTGCTTAAAAAAGGAGGGTCGTGGAGAGACATATATGGAATTGATGAAAAGAGGGTGGCAGGTTTGGTTAGAGAAGACAATGTTGACATCTTAGTGGAACTAACTGGACATACTGCTAACAATAAATTGGGCACTATGGCGTGTCGACCAGCACCTGTTCAGGTATGCATGAAATTGTTGGCATGAGTGGAAAAGTGTATTTTGCTTTCTACTGCTGTTGTTCCATGCTAAACATTAATTTGGTTGTTTTAGAAGAGAGGTGGAAACTGCTTTTGGACTGGTTACTTGCTCATGGATAGCAAGTGTGGCCAGAGACTTTGTTTTGCTTTTTCTGTAATTGATGTCAGTACATGCATGATGCATCTGTTCAAGATTTTATTTTGTGTGTCTTCAACATGAGCCAGCTGGAAGCAGTAAGAGGTATATTTATCTAACCGATACCGGACATAAAATGTAGAATCCTTTCAGAGGAAGCACCAATCCTATTGCATCTTTGCCTATATGCTCTAATAGTGAGAGGAAGTCATTAGTGAGCACAGTGATGCGGTAGTAATGTTAGGTGTGGCAAACTGTGATGATGCTTAAGGTACCTGTAGAACTCACATAGCTGGAGTTTGTGTTGTATACTTCTTGCAAATTAGTCTTTTTAGGTTTACCTGAACGTATGAACTTTGCTGGGTGCTTGATTGAGTATTCTATACCAGTAAGAAGCATTATGTTGAAATATGCTTATGCTCTTTTTATACAAGGATTTAGTTTGATAATTGTTTTTTTGTTCAGGTTACATGGATAGGGTATCCAAACACAACTGGTTTACCTAGCATTGATTACAGAATCACTGATTCTCTGGCTGATCCACCAGATAGTAAACAGAAGTATGGATTCTTCCACCTCTCTTTTACTTTTGTCAGTTCTGATGGGAGTCTTGATCCTCTAGATTGGAAATATCTATAGTTACTCTGGTACCTGTGCTAATATCTCTTACTTGTTTGTAGCCATGTCGAAGATTTAGTCCGGTTACCAGAATCCTTTCTTTGTTACACTCCGTCCCCTGAAGCTGGGCCAGTCGCGGTTGCACCTGCTGTGTCAAATGGCTTTATAACATTTGGTAGTTTCAACAATCTGGCAAAGGTATGTATCAGGAGATAGTTGGGCAAGTTTATTTGCCAAGTTCTAGTAAAACTCATTATTGTAATTGGTGAGGATCCTTACTCATCACTCTTCGCAACTTTCTCTCCCTGGCAGATAACTCCTAGAGTACTGCAAGTGTGGGCTAGGATTCTCTGTGCAGTTCCAAACTCTCGCCTGGTTGTTAAATGCAAGCCATTCTGTTGCGATAGTGTTCGGCAGAAATTTCTGACAACTTTGGAGCAGCTAGGGTTGGAACCATTGCGTGTTGATCTTCTGCCTCTAATTCTTCTGAACCATGATCATATGCAAGCATATTCTCTCATGGATATCAGGTGAGATCTTGAAATAATATATAAATGACATAATTGCAGTCTGTTGTTGCTACCTTCTAGTAAAGCGTCAGTGGCAAAGCTCCTTTATTGCTGTAGGACTGCTGTCATCAGATGCTAATTTGATACCTCCTGGTTGACCTGCTATATCAGTGAATAAGCCAGTTGTTTCTGCCAGTTTGGCAAGGTTTTAACTTTATGGGTCATATTATGCTAATGATTTGAAGATACCATTCTTTGTGATACAAGACGGGTCCTTTTCCTGGTTAACCCTATGTTATGGAAAGTTTTCATTGCTTCTACTTTCCTTGCTGTCTGCTTGTGCTGCATCACACTGAGTCCATTAACGATCAGCTTTAGTACTAAATGCAGCAAAAAGGTTTCCTGCTGTGCCTTAATGGCTTGAAGAAGTTTTTGGCTCCTATAGCTGTGTTTCCAGGCTCTGTTTATTTACTTGCTTGTTAAATTGACAATAGGACTATAACCTAACCTTTTATGTAGCAAATAATTTCTGCAGAAAGTCTTGTCCTAGTCGGTTGTTTATTTAAAGTAGGGTTGTCATAGAAGCACATCCCATAAACCTCATCTGGAGTTGTTTTAGCTTGGACTTTTTTCTCCTAATAGCTGTAATACCAACTAAAATGCCAGTCCCAACTATACATGTGCTATATCTGGTCAATTTCTTCTGTTGGTTGATGGATTTTACATGTAGAACACGGTTATATACCGTGATTGGTTTTACCTCTGTTCTTCTGTTGTGTATTTTCAATGTGCTCGCCAGTTCTTGCGCGAAAAGATCATCATGGTGTATAACATCTTACTGTGTTGTAGTTTGGATACGTTCCCATATGCTGGAACAACAACGACGTGTGAATCTTTGTTCATGGGAGTGCCGTGTATTACTATGGCTGGAGCGGTACATGCTCACAACGTTGGTGTTAGTCTTCTCAGCAAAGTAGGTGAGACACCTTTCTTTGTACTTGTTTAGTGTACTTGATCTATCTGCCATGGCAAGTGGAGTGGAATTAAGGGTGTGTTTGTTTCAGTTCAAAGAAAAGGTAACCTAGGAACCCTAAGCAAATCAATCCGACATTTTGGAGATACTAATTCTAATTGACAAATTGTTAATAGCCCAAAGTCCCTCACTAGAATATTTTCATTTCCAACTTTGTCCTTCTGAAAGAAGTTCTTAGTGCTATATGCATATAGTCATTGCCCGATACTCATTTTCTAATTATCACAAACTACTGTTCTTTCATTTTTAAACAATATCTCATATCCTACTTACTGTACCTTTTCTAGACCTAACCAAACACTTCCCTTCCTTTTCACTGAAAGTTACTACCAAATCAGTTTCTTTTCGCTAAAGCTAAAGCAAACATGCAATAAAACCAGCCTTAAGAGTTTGAAGGGAAGTCAGCTGAGTTTTGATTATGGCAATGTACAGGACTAGAACATCTGGTTGCCAAAAATGAGGATGAGTATGTTCAAATGGCGCTTCAACTGGCTTCAGATGTTGATGCTCTCTCGAGCTTGAGGATGAGGCTCCGAGATCTTATGTCCAAATCGCCTGTATGTGACGGAGCAAACTTCACTCTTGGCTTGGAGTCGGCATACAGGGACATGTGGCGGAGATACTGCATGGGTGATGTGCCATCTTCAAAACATATGATCCAACTCATTCAACAACAGGAACAACAAGTAATTTCAGATGTACCCAGCGACAACTCTCAACAACCCCCAACTACTATCTCGAGCATGACAAGCTCAAGAGAAGAAGACTTGCTGCATGGATCCGCTATCAAGGAGAATGGATTCGGTGCAGCAGCACCATCGATGGGCAATCATTTTTGTGATGAGAACGGGATTAGTTAGAATCTCGCACTGCGTACCACACAATCAAAGTCGAAACTGAAGTGGGTCATCATGAGCTGATGTGTGATTCCTACCCCGTTTTATCCCTTCGAGTGTGATGTTTCTAGAGCTGGGCGCAAAGGGCAAGTGTAGGTGAGAAACACTAGTCTCAATTGTGGCAGCGAAGGAGTTGTTCTGTGTTGTGGTGTTTGCTGCAGGGGAATATATTTTTCTGGGAAAGAAGGGTTGTTAGGAAAGGAGTTCTGACGGTTTGGATTCAAGGGTGAACCTGATGTTGTAGTTAGGCGGGCATCTGGGGTATCTTTCCCATGATGGATAGGTAACTAGAATTTGGCTGGTTTTGTAAATGGGAGATAGTTTACATTGGTTTGTATCCTTATTGTACTCTGTTTTCTTGGGGAGAGAACCAGTAGAAGAAACAAGGAAGAGCAGTAGCTGGAGAGCTAGTATTTTCTACCTGTTACATATGACGATTTAAGTGAAATTATAGAGCAATTTCGGGCCGATGGTTTTATTAAAGCATCTTTAATATTTTACTCTTGTTTCTCCTCCCTTAGGAGAGGGTGGCATGTTTCAGTTAGGAGGAATAGGACCAGATATAAATAAAGGAAAAATGGCTAGGTTCCACATCTAATATTTTAGCTCTCGCTAACAAAGGATAACTCTTTCACAGATAAACGCCACCAGAATCCAAAGGCGGAACGTTAAAGCTAGGCACAATGTAATACTTTGGATCAGGACTTCAAACAATGCCCGGTTTGGGTCTAAGAGACAACGCAGCTGAGTTTTCTCTAATAAAATTTGCTTATCTTGACATAAGCATTTTTACAAACAAGGCAGGTTGAGAATTGAGATCCACGATTGCTGTCGAGGGGCAAAACAGTACCCCTTTGAAGCCAAATTACATTCTCAGCAGCTTCAGGTCTGCAGAGCGGTTGTCGACATTGATTGCATACATCGATTGCTGATTCCTAAGTTCTATCTGGATTTGTCGTCTTGCCTTGCAGCATTTAATCTTTGACGGACGTTCTCAATATCTTCACATCATGAATGGGCCTGCAATGTATCAAATAGATCATATGAAGTAAGCAGATTTTAGTAGGAACATTGCAGCAATCCACCAAAATTATGGAACTTTGAGCTAAACTGAGCATGTTTAAGTTAGTGACAGCGAATGCCTTAGCTTAAAGTCAAGTTTCATAAAACAGAATTCATGAACATTTTATGAAAAACTCACCTGTCACTTTTGTCAGTCTGAACGCTCCCAAGTCTTTTGATTATCTCCATCCCACCACAAACTCTTCCAAAGATGGTATGTTTTCCTACAAAATTTGGACATGATACAAAGCTTAATGGTGAAATATAAGTTGTTGACACAAATACACGAAAAACTATCCCTATATGTGCGCTACACATCAAGCTTATCAGCAAAGACTTTTATTTCAGAACCAACAAACATGTCAATATAAGTTGGTTGACACAAATACACGCAAACTATCCCTAATTATGTGGTACGCGTCAAGCTTATCAGCAAAGACTTTGATTACATATGTTCTGAGCACACCCTTCCTATTTCTGAACCAGCGGGAAGAAAACTGCTCCACCAGATCAAAACTCTTGGGTTACATTAGCTCACATAGGATGACAGCCCCAAGCATTACAGTAAGTTTTGCAAACATGGATCGACTTTGAAAAGGACAAAGTGACCACCAAATTTTCATCAAATCATGTAGCACTTGCGAAAAATGCACTCAAACTGACAACTGCCATTCAATATCAATCACTCAACAAAACAATGTCTAAACAAGCACAGAGTGATCACTTCAAAACCACCTACCAGAAAGCACAAAGATCACCCTTTACAGCTAGGAATATGCAAATAAAATTAGGTGAGTTTGTTACAGTAGCATACCATCCAGGTTCGGACAAGGTGCCAATGTAATGAAGAACTGGCTTCCATTTGTATCAGGACCAGCATTAGCCATGGATAAAATCCCAGCTCCAGTGTGCTTCAAGTCTTTCATTATTTCATCTTCAAACTTCTTACTATAACATAAACCACAGAGAAAAAAGTCTATAAGACAACGCTCAAAGGTTCAAACCAATGCATAATACCCTCCAAGAAGGAAATCATTCTTAGAATTCCATAAGGCTCTACTGAACTGAACCTAACAAGAAATAATCTTTCCTATGACAGAAAGTATCATACTTTATCTCATTCGTATTCGTTATACAAATGCTACAGAACTAACTCCTATCACTCAAACTTCAGAGAAAAGGGAAGCAAACACTCACCCATATATGGACTCCCCACCCCTCCCTGTTCCTGTAGGATCCCCACCTTGCACTATAAAATCCTGTACTCAAAAAGCAAACAAATTTCATTAGCAAAACACAAAATCACCCAAATCAATTAGATAAAAACCCTAACTATTAGCAGGCTGAACCATACCTTGATAATCCGGTGGAACTTCACACCATCGTAGTACCCTCTACGAGACAGTTCAAGGAAGTTCCTGCAAGTTTTTGGAGCGTGCTTGTAATACAGCTGCAGGTAACCAAAAACAATCCCTAGTTATGCAAACACGCAAAGAAAAAACAAAGATTTGGAAGGAAGAACAGTCGTCAATTTTTCCTACAGAGTTTCCTCAGCAACCAAACGGAAGGTGAGACAGAGAAAAGATTTGGAAGTACCTCGACGGTGAAGGCGCCCATCGAAGTCTCCAGAGTCACCTCCGGTGCTCCTCCATCGGCGCTTGTCCTCATTCCTTACAGTATTGCCTCAGTGCAACGGCAAAGCCAAAGTTTCGCCTTCCACGGTCAGCGCCGATTCAGAATTCATATAAAGGGGTCGTCAACTATCTCGAGTCGGGCTCGGAAAACTGTGATTTGGGCCTTTTGGCCCAATAGTGATAGCCCATACTCCATAGTGGTCGAAGGTTAGGCCCAAACGGCCTCCACATCTTGTCAAGTTGCTTCGCTTTCGCTACCCGAGTTTCCGGCTTTCCGCTCAATCGAACACGGGATATGAGAACGATCAGGCGGCTACCGTTTGACGGCGTCGGCGTCGATTACGGAGTGGTCCGGCGAGCGGTGATAATTGGAAATGGGTTCGCTGGGGCAGAGAATCAGTGTATCGGGTTGGTTCGAGCTCTCGGACTCGTCTCCCGCCATTCTTTATACGTATGAACCTCTAAGCTTTGTTCGACTGGATTGAAATTTGTTTACTCTCGAGAAAAATCTATGGCTTCTGTACTGAAATTCGTTCCGTTCATTTATTCTAGCGTGTCACGAGGCCAACTGGAGGGATCAGCGGCTGGCTCCATTGGCTTCCGGTGTCTGTACACTGGAAAGTTGACTACCTCATGCGCCGGATCGTTTTTGACGGCTTGGGAAGCTTTCGTGCGGCAATAAGCGGCCACGGAGTGGCGCCTTCGTCGTCTTCAAGAGCTGGTGCTCCTCTGAAGTTCGAATTTGCCCCTTTTTTTCTCTTGTGCGGTGAATACTGATGACTGATGAGTATTGATCAGAAAATGTTGCATTTGGGTATTGCAGGACTTACAAATATACACGAAGCTGATGCGAAGCAGATTGCAGCCATGGCTCGAGATTCATTTCACAAGTACGATTTAATTTTTCTCCTGGTTACATTTGTGATCATGGGTATGGGTATGATTGGTTTCCATTTCTCTTCAGGGATGGACCGTTGTTGATCGTTGCTTCAGGGAGGGACACCATTCCGGTAGCAAGTTCGATAAGACGGTTAGCTCCAGAAAATGTGTTTGTTGTACAGGTTAAATTTTGCCATTAAAATTAGTATTTTATGATCGTTGAGTAATGCCTGGCGCAAGTGCTGGCTACATGTTTTCATTGTAGGAATCGTTCTGCCTCCAGCCAAACTATCTTATTCTGTTATGTCCTTTTTTTTCCTGATATTTTCGGTGCTAATTGTCTGATGTTGGTAGTTGCAATCTTGCCGCAGATACAACATCCAAGAACACGTCTCAATAGGTTTGATTTGGTGATTACTCCTCAACATGATTACTATCCGTTGACTCCTCAAGGTCAGAAGCAAGTCCCTTGGTTTCTCCGGAGGTGGATAACACCACGAGAGCCTCCTGATAAACATGTGGTATGTATTTCATGGTGGTTCAATGCTATTTCTTCAATCTGGTTTGTGAGAGTGTTTAAATTTTTTTGTTTTTATTCACAGTGATTAGTTTATTTCGGAAGGAAATAGAACTTATAAGTAGGGTTTTGAGATGTCAGGTACTGACTGTTGGAGCTCTTCATCAAGTTGATTCTGCTGCCTTGAGGACTGCTGCTTCTGTATGGCATGAAGAGTTGCAGTCCTTACCAAAGCCTCTGCTTGTTGTCAATGTTGGCGGACCCACAGGTTAATATGCATGTCCACCGATATGTTCAGTTAGCAGTTTATGCTAGATCCTAACGAGGTTCCATCACTTACCCTCTGCAAAGTCCCATAGCAACATAGTTCATGGGGCTATCTAGAACTATACTCATGTTACTCATCCCGATATATAGTTTAGTCTGTTTTCTTTTCCTTTTCCAACTCACGGAAACACTGACTATAATGGTTTCTATACTCCCTCACTTCATAGCTGCTTTTTTGAAAGAATGAATTATTAGTGATTGTTGCCTGCACAACTTGTTACATCATTCCCTGTAGGTAATTGTCGGTATGGTGCTGATCTTGCTATGCAGTTAATAGATACGCTACATAATGTTCTTTCGAGTTGTGGAAGTGTTAGAATATCCTTTTCCCGGAGAACCCCAGAGAAGGTATTTTCAGCAACTGCGTTAATAGCTTATTCTCTTGGATTGGTACTTCCCCTCATTATTCGCTTTTTTTTTTTATATTGACAGGTAGTGGAGCTGCTTGTGAAAGCATTTAGTGCTAACCCGAAGGTTTGCATCTGGGATGGTCAAGGTATCTATCAGTTAGATATCAGTGGCAAATATTTTCACTTAAATTTAAATCTCCATTCAGGAGGTATGAATATTTCTCAATTATTGACTGGAATAGGTTCAAATCCACATATGGGCCATCTGGCTTGGGCTGATGCCTTTGTCATCACAGCTGACTCTGTAAGTATGCTGAGTGAGGCCTGCAGTACTGGGTATGTATGTTTGTTCAGGGTAACATGAAAAGATCAAATCTTTACTCCCTTGAAAATCAATTTGTTCAACTGAAAGTCAACAATCCACTTTTCTGATCTGCAGGAAGCCTGTGTATGTCATAGGAGCTGAAAGGTGTAAATGGAAGTTTGCTGACTTCCAGGAGCGTTTGCAGAAACTTGGCATGGTCCGACCTTTCACTGGTGAAGAGGACGTAAGTTTATCCTAACAAGTTTCTTGTAATGCTCAATCTCAAAATAATTTCTGTATGATAACTTAAAATACTCTACATTTTACTACAGATGTCGGAGACCTGGAGCTATGCTCCACTAAATGATACTGCAGAGGCTGCTAAGAAGGTCACAGAAGCACTTGCAGAGCGAGGATGGTCTGTGTCAATGTCACCATGAGTTGACTTCCAAAGTTGTTTTTCAGTTCATTGAAGTTGGCTCAGTCATAACCATAGCGAATTTGATAGACTACCGGAAGGGCGAGATCAGGCAAGTAAACAGACAACCATCAACAAACCGTGGCAGTTTGTTTAGGCACCACCGAATAACTTAATGATGTAAACCCCTGGGTGTTGGTTCCTTGAATTTCTTTCCAATGGGGATAGCCACAGAGTTCCTTGTGTTGAAAGGCAAAAAATGTGCATATTGTACCACTTTTTGCACAACTGCACAATATCCCTGAAGACCTGATTACCTGATGTTAAAAAAGTACATGGTAAAATGCAGATATGTTTCACTTCCACTTCTTTGGAAACCTGTAAATCTTCAGTTATGCATGTAACAATATCAAATCGATTGATGAGTATGATCAATCAAATTAGACATATCTTATAGACAGTAAGCCATGTATGATGAATTAATTATAAGTCGTTCTTTATGAACAACAGGTGGTGTAGATTGTAAAGAGACCAATCATAATTCTTAGTACCAACTCCAAGGCAACATGAATAGGAGTTGTTAATCCCACATATATGTTGCTCTGTTTTTGAAGTAGGAGCAACTACTCCCTGGAAACAAAGAAATTGGCAACAAAGCAAAACCAACAACTCCCCTTTCTAGCCCTTTGAACACCACTTATCAATTCACCTTCCTATATATGCTACCACCCTTTCCCCCTCCATTCTCATCAACACAGAAGCAAAATCAGAACCTTTCTCCTACAGCCTGCAAATACATCAAAGCTCTTCTCCTTCCAGTTCTTAACACTCTTTCCACCACCCGAAATCCCAGCCATGTCGACGAAAGAAGCAGCCACCACCATCGACGTCCCAGAATCGAGCTCAGTGCCCAAGGGGAAAGCCTCGATCATCGCAGCAGCCAAGCATGGAGGCAAAACAGGGGGCTACCACAGAGGCGTCGCCATCTTCGACTTCCTCCTGAGGCTCGCTGCTCTCGTATCCGCCCTGGCCGCAGCTGCCACAATGGGAACCAGTGACGAAACCCTGCCTTTCTTCACTCAGTTCTTCCAGTTCCAAGCTAGCTACGACGACCTCCCTACATTCCAGTACGTCTCATAACCAGCTCATCTCAAGAGCGCCACTACGCAATTGCCTTCATCTTATCCTCCCATTATGTTGGTAAAAAAATTGCAGGTTTTTTGTGATTGCAATGGGGATCGTTGGAGGCTACCTTGTGCTTTCCCTGCCATTCTCAATTGTCTGCATCGTTCGCCCGCAAGCTGCCGCGCCACGCTTCCTTCTCCTCGTTCTCGACATTGTAAGGACCATTTCCAATGAATCTTGATTTCGTTGGCGGTAAAGTCGACGTGAGCTTACTTGTCTGACTGTATGTAGGTGGCGCTGACTCTGAACACGGCGGCGGCGGCAGCGGCGGCGGCCATCGTGTACTTGGCGCACAACGGCAACAGCAACACCAACTGGCTGGCGATATGTCAGCAGTTCGGCGATTTCTGCCAGAAGGTGAGTGGCGCAGTGGTGGCCGGGTTTGTGGCGGTGCTTATGTTCGTGGTGCTGGTTATTCTCTCCGCTGTTGCTCTCCGGAGGCACTGAAAGACTAGAAGAGTTTGGTACAAGGGACAATGAACCTATCAGAGCTTATGGTGTCAGCTACTTAAAAGGCTGTGATTTGTGTTTTTATAATGTTGTTTGTTGGTTACTGAATACTTGTATGATGAAAGAATTGCGGTTGTGTAAGAGTGAGTGATGATTCTGTGTGCATGTTTCTCTATAGTCCGTTGTTCGACGGAAATATTGAAATGGAAAAAGTGGCATTTTCGTCTCTAGATTTTTGTCTCTCTCCGTTCCTTATTTCTGCAACTTCAATTCTGTACGATATAAATGTGAAGATATCAACATATAATACAGGGGGAAAACGACGAGTAAAGTTTCAGTCTGAGTCTCCACGGATAAATTGGAAAAATATTATTATCAAATTTCTGTCCATATCATAATCTAATTTATACAATTGAGCGTGAAAAGAAATTCATACAAATTTAATTGGTCTCGTCAAGTTTAGGACTTTACTACGTTGACATGCATATCAGCGTAACATGGACTTTTCGGTCGACCTCTTTGGGGGTCGAACAGAATGAAAGATCGACCAAAATACCTCATAGGCCAGGGGCGGAGCTATGTAGGCTCTCGGGGGGGCCCCGGCCCCCCGAGAATTTTGAAACTTAAGTATAAAGTCCTAGGAACTTTCGAGAATTACGTATAAAATCAACTTTAAATATATTTAAAATCCGAGTG